ATTCGTACCTATTGTAATCGGAAGAATGGAAAAAATTATAAAATAATAAGAACACTAAGAAATTTGACATTTACTACGATCACCTACCGTAGCACCCAAAGGAATCATCGGAACGGCTTTTGTTAAGCAAAATTTTTCTGCCTTGGAAGAGACCTGTAGTTCGATCAGAACATTATTCAGTATTTTTTAATTCTTACTATCTGAGATTCAAAAAAAAAATTAGAAATTGGGCGTGATAGATTTTGAAGCGGATTCGACCAAGAAAGAAAATTATAACACGGAATACCATTTCGGATAGTTCTTTGGAGCTACTGTGACTGACTTTATGCAAAAACTTATGGTAATCGAGCCAACTATCCGAGAAATCAGGCTAAGGTCGCAGTTGTAATCTTCTGATCCGCACCTCTGCTAAAGATCAGCCAAAGTCTAACTCCGTGCTTGATCAAGTAGCAACAGAAGTTTTTGGGGCAAAATAAAACGCGGTGAGGTGTCGATAATTCTATCCAAACCAATTATGGGTCGAATACTTATTGCTTCTATTATTCTTACTGGCTATCGAAGTATTCCGACACATTTGATCACCTTTACACTGGTCCGCACAAAGCACCAGTTACACCCCAGGGTTGGAGTAGCTGCTGATTATAGGAAATTGTGTTAGGTTGTTCCATAAGTAATGAACTGATGCCTTCAAACATTGTGGGAAAGAAGGAGGCAAACATCTGCATGGAGTCTGCGTTGTAGCAGGTTTCATAAGCTGATCTTTGACTTTCCTCCTGCGGATTTTTGAAGTGGAAAAACGTTTATCACTTAAGGAATGACCGAATAATTAACTTTAGCGTGTTACAATTCTTTCCACTGTAATAAAAAAGATGGTAGAGGATTGAGCTTTTGGGGTTGTTCAGTCCATTTTGGGATGCGCCCCGCATTCCACTTCCATTCAAAAGCGTAGTAGCACTTCAATGCTGTATAGTCCATGCTATACCTGCGGGGCTGGCCGATGGTCAAGTCAGGTCTTTACACTCCCAGAAAGTTTGGTACCAATTTACCGCCCCTTGAAGATGGGAGGCTTAATTCATGAGCAGGATCCGATCCGAGATTTGAATTCTGTCCCGTGCGTGTGGTACTCTACTTCTCTCCTCCTTGTGGAACAGGTTCCTCAGAAACAAGGCGATCACAGAATCTATGGGGAAGCATTCCCTATGGGGCATAAAGCATCATGGAGCCAGTTCATGCGTGTTTGCTCTCTATCAGATAGTGAGTGGTTCGCTGGTCATAAAGGAGGCGGTGTAGGGGAATGTGGGACTCCGGGTGACTTATGAACAGACGTCTTGGAAGTGATAGCAGTTGTGTTGTCCAATTCCCGAGGAGGGCCTTCAAAGTTCCTCAGATAGTTTAATGGGGGACCTGGGTAAAACGAAACAGCCAAGAATGCTGGTTACAAATATGGGAACCCAAACTGTCGCGTGAACCTTCCATCAAGTTGTGAGCCGTGAGAGAATGCGGGAAGAAAAGTTGTGGCGCTATACTGGTACCATACGGAAAGTAGCCCTAAAATAAATGTTCTATTCGCGATGAGGTTACCTAATTACCCATATAGGGGACTTTGAGGGAGAATTGAAAATGCCGATGCGGATAGATTGGTTCACCTCGGTAGGGCTGCATTTGCTGCAAAGTTTGACC